CATCGTGAAATTGAATTCCTATAAAAAGAGAAGGCATACTCTAGCAAAAAGAAAGACAAAAATGGATCAGCAATCAATTGTAGAGGATTTGACAATGACAATGAAGAGCCAGGCACTTCTCGCTAAAACCCGCAGCACACCTAAAGTATCGTCAGCATGGACTTTAGATGGCAGCTAGGGTCATCGCTCATCTATCTGCCAGTGACGGAAAATGTGAAGAAGTGGATTAGAAGCGAAGATGACTTTCGGTAAACGTCACAGTCGTAGTACGAGTCAGAGTTCTTGGGTTTACACCTGGAAAGGAAGCCTTATTCACATATAAGGTGAAGGGAAAGGATGAATGGAAAGAAAAGTAAACAACCACCGGTCAGATACTTCCAAGAATAGCTTGTATGAATAAAGGCTTATTTAATTGAATTATCTATGTGAATTAGAAAGGAACGAATTTTGTATAAAGTATTCTCTTTGTTAATCGGATTATCGCAAATTTTCTATCGTAAAAACATATATGATTGTATACATTCAAAGAACAATGATAACTTCATTGGAAAGAGGAAGAAAATTCGGGTAAACACTTTCAGAGTATTAATGTAAAGTAAAATACTGGTCAAACGTCACAGTCGTAGTGACTCAGAGTTCTTGGGATTACCCCTGAAAAGGAGGCCTTGTGCACATATAAGATGAGAAAAAAGGATGAATAGAAAGAAAAGTAAACAACCACCGGTCAGATATTTCCAAGAATAGCTTGCATAAATAAAGGCTTATTTAATCGAATTATCTATGTGAATAAGAAAGATCCTAGCCCTTGTGAAAATATGTAGTTGGTTTTTTTTAGTGACCGAAGATTATCGACTAATATTTGTTTGTGTGTGCAATACTCTTAGACGAAAAGACATTGAAATGTGTAAGTAGTACCAGTAAACCTTAAAAAGATCTTACTCGTTTCACCGCACAAAGCTCCTGTATACCCCGAAGCACATGTACATGCATTGGTGTCACAGGTACCTCCGTTTAGACACGGGTTGCTGCCGGAACAGTCAACTACAGAGAGGAAGAAACAAAATACAGTTTAAGAATGATATATTAAACATTAAATTACAAACTAGGTAGGCTTCACCCACATTCATATCACTGTTTGTTTGTTGTTGGGGGGGGGGGGGGATTGTAAGTTAGAATGTTGACTATTAAAGAGGTTAGATGCGCGTTGGCGTATCATGGCTTAAATCATCGTTATCATAAAAAGTCGGGTGACATCCCGCAAATATAAGTTGATTCATGTTGATGTGCAGGGCTGCATACAACTCATATTTTGTTATTCAAACATCTAAATATATTTTCATAGATTTTGTAATATTTTTGTAAATAATTTTCTCAGACCTGCTAAGCTCCATCCTTAAAAAATGCCCCAGATCTCATTTATCTTGTGACATCTGTCAATCAGTAGTGAGCTAACAAGAGACAGTGGTATGTAGATAGTACATGTATGATGTATGATGTACATGTATTGAATGAATACAATAAAGAATACTACCAAGAAACAAAAAACAAAAAACTTGTGAAATTATGGATTCCTCGGCGACAGAAAAAGCACCATTTTCTTCGGGGCTATCCCCCTCAGAAAAAAGTGCTATTCCTGCCACCATGATCCATAATTTCAACTAGAGCCTCTCAGTGCATACTATATTTCGTCCCTATTTTCACAGAGTGACGGTAGTGAATGAAAATCGCATTCACTTTGTGTGCGGATTTTCCTCACTACCGTCACTTCGTGAAAACAGGAACGAATTTTGTATAAAGTATTATCTTTGTTAATCGGATTATCGCAAATTTTCTGTCGTAAAAACATATATGATTGTATACATTCAATTATTACCAAAGCTATCAACGGGAACTAAGAGAGAATTATATATAGCATTTAAATATGATAAAACTGCATCATCTTACATCACACTACCTATCAAAATAGTCATCTTTGTTTGTGTTGATGTGCAGAAGGCAGCCCTAAGTAAACATAATTGAAATTTTAGCTACACTGTAATATCAAAGTGTTAACTCTAGATCGCTGTAACATGTTTTTTGTATTTCATAGAAATGCAATGAATTGGCAAATTATATATAATATTAAACATATTTGCGGGCAGATTTCCAGAAAGTTTCAAAAGTCATAAGTGATGATAACTTATCCAATATTAATAAATATGTTTTTGGCGCAATTCATGATCTTGAAAAAAATTCTTTAAAAATCACATTTTCCGCCTAAATCATCATCAATCCTACAGAATGAGGTATCATCTTGGAAATTCTAAATTCTCTCTTAGATGAAACCTCACATATTGTGAAATGAGTTTCTATTATAAATTTATCTTCAAAATCGTTAAACATTAGATATACATAGCGGCCACTTTAAAAAGTGGCCTACATATTTTTAAGGTAGTCCACCTAAAAATGTTGCAAGGAAGTACCCTGATACCGAAAAAATCCAAATAGGGGCTTTCCCTCTGTGTTTTAAAAGGAAAAAGTAGTTAAATGCAACAGTACAACGAAAGTTTAAGGATAAAGTAACATGTAATGAAAAAGTTCGAAGTAAGTAGATATTAAGCAGAAAGAGGGCGCTTTCCACATAAACACTATGCACATTTATTTATACACTGAAATCGTAGAGGACATGGACAATTTTGTTCACGCTTCATAAATAAACTAGCCCTGAGGCATCAATAGTGTTAGATATCTTAATCATATTATGTCGATAGTTAAATCTACATACTGTACACATATATGTACGGTTATGATTATTTTGTGTATATAATCATTTGATAACAACAAAATCGTTTTAACATTAGTGCAAACCCAAACTGATTCTTTGTGATTCAATGATTATTCTCAACGATTGATTTCTTGTAATAAATCTTTGATTTGTTGTCATAAATTATAGTGTATTGGGCGGGCCCATCTTGATCGGCTCCATTCACCAAATGTTTGGCTATTTTCATGCTAAAATACTATGTATCTGGAGTTTTCGTAATAAAGAAAATGAATAAGAAAAAAAGTTTCAACTGGCAAAATACTTACCAGTTTCACAAGAGCTACCAGTATATCCCGCCAGGCATTGGCAAGATTGAAAGGTACCATCCGCGTTGGACAGGCAAGTTCCTCCATTCATACATGGGTTCGTCGGTGAGCATGAACCTGGAAAAACAGTTTTCAGCAGAAATGTAAATTTTGCATGACACCTAATTACAAATAGATGCTCTCGATTAGCCTAGAAACAATTGAATAAATGTAAACATGCATTCTAGTTATGCTACGGACACAGAGGTTCTTCCCGAATGTCCATTGTCTGAAAATCGTTCGTACGGCGTTCGTAGCAGTTCGTAATGGCATTTGTGACCGAGGCTTTAGGTTTATTAGGGAGGGGAGTTGTTGGGAAGTACCAGATGCGTACTAAGGTTAGTTAGTATGAGGTGCGCTGGCTTTACTCAGTGAACGAAAATCAACCAATGGGTGGAAAGTAGGGTTTGGAGAGTATCGTATTATCTTTTGTTTATGCTTTACCCCCTTCAGGTCCCCCTTTTAACACGGCGTATGTGTATACACGGGCCGAGATAAATGTGTATGTATACATACACGCAAATCAATTGTCCAATTAATTTTACCCCAAAACACATTATCAAAGTCCAGTAGTACTGCCCAATCCTAGCGTAAAGAAATTTTAATTCTGAAGGAAAAATTTGCCCAACTCTAAAAAAAAATCAAATTCTCTTTTGCAGTGATTGCCTGAATATAGCCAAAAATTACCCAACTGATATTAAGTAAATGAAATGTTGTGTTCTTAGGCAAAATTTGCCCAATTTTCCCCCTTATTTCCCTAACCTGGCTGGATCAAAAAGCATAGTAAACAGTTTTTCGCCGTATAGCCATTTACTATCTTCCGGTTGTTTCTATGAGTCTTAATGTAGTATATTATATCATAATTTAATATAACCTGACTTATCCTACCATATCTTATCATAACTTAACATGACCTGACCTATCCTTACCTATCCTAGCAAAACTTAACATAACTTGACCTATCCTATCCTTTCCTATCATAACTTAATATAACCTAACTTATCCTAACCAATGCTATCATAACTTAACACATCTTGACCTATCCTAACCTATATCCCAACCTATAATACTTAACCATCTACAATGTATTTATATCAATTACAAGCTTCTATAATGCCTTACAAAAGTTATGATGTGTTTGGTGTCATTAAGTTAACAGGCCGCCCAATCAATATGCAAATACCATGAATATTCATATATCTGTTCGAGAACATATTAGTTCAGTACATCCTGCATACATATGCCTAGCGTCCCCTCGGTACACGGGCCGATCGTTAGAAAAAAAAGGGCAATTTTTCTTACACATTGTAGGCTACATGTTTTAAAAAAAAACTAATTCTGGAAAAGATTCGCCCAATAATCATGTGCCCAGTTAAATATTGAGCCATATTTATACTATTAAACCTACTTAGCAAACAAACGACCGACTTTGTTAGCCTTATCCATTGTTATTCTTTTAACCTCGTATTGGATTGGTTAGTATTTTTTTAAACCAACATTTACTCGCCCATCAATAATGGTCTTCTGTGATACCTAACCAAACTCCCAATGGAAAGTATAACGGACAATCCTTTTACAGCGTTACCGCTAAATATTCTTTCTACAGGAAATGTTCAACTTGGGGTTTGCTTTTCCAAACACCCGTTATAAAAATTAAAGATAATTCTGATCTCATCTAATATTTCCAACGATCTCTTAAGGCCTAATCGTCTAATCTCCTTTTGCATGGAAAAATATCTTATTTCGGAAAGGATATTGTAACTGAATTACACTATTCATCTGATTATACTCACCAACTTCGCACCTTTGTCCACCCCACACCCCTTTACATGCACATGAGTATGAAGTAGTTGTAGTGCCGGGGGTTACAGAGCCACTGCAGATCCCACCGTTCACACACGGGATGGAGTTGCACGGTTCAACTATTTATGAAGACAAAGAACGTGAAAAATCCACATACTGTATAACAAAACCATTTTTTGTCAACTGCAGTAGAGTAATAGAAGGAATAATTTCCCATAATTTCATGGCCGTAATTTAATGGAAGAACGTTAAAGGCATTTTTTAAATTTTAAAATATTCTCGATGACTTTTCTAACCAATGTGTACAATCAGGTTCATCATTACGGGGTCTATACTACTGGATACTCGAAATATTTGTGTAATAACTTAGGTCTGAACAAAACTAATGACTGAGAATAAATAAATAAATATAATGATGTTGTTCCTGATCGGGCCCAATTGTAACGATTATTATGTGGAAACTATCGTGCGGTGCATGATGTAGAATGTTCAAGGCTTTAACAAAAGTTGTAGGGTAAAGAAATGAATTAAATTCTACCTGCTTGACATCTTTCTCCAATGTAGGGATTAATACAATTACAGTCGTAATTAGAAAATCCCACGTTGGTGCAAGCACCTCCAAATTGACAGGGATTACTGGTACATGGAAAAGCTAAAAGAAAATATGAAAGTCACAAATTAATCAATACAAATTCTTCGTGATTATGTGTCAAATCTGTTACAATTTCAAATTCATGATAATGCAATATAGAGTATGTCCAGAACATAAATTATGATTCAAAATGACAGATTTTTAGCACTCAGCCATGTGCAATACGGATATAAAAGGTTTATACAAATTGTAGATAGACTGAGACACGATGCACATTAAACAAAATGTACAACTTTCTTTATTGAGGAATATGAGCTCCATGTCAGCCTGACCGTAACGGTCGGGTTAAGACCTGGAGCCCACGAAACAGGAGCCAATCTGGGATCAATTTCACCCGACCTATCGCATGTACCAATTTTTTTCAGTAGGAAATAAGATGAACATTCATTTTTTGTTTAAACACCCACACGCACACGAGCGCCATGAACACATATGATAACAATTTATGTTAAGATTGGTTGTCAGATGACCCTGACATTTGGAAGATATTTTAGTTCTCTTTAAGGCCAAGAATAAACTTTGTCGGAAGGTAGAGGTATGTGTGTGCATAACAAGTGCTCCACCTAATATGAACTTACCAGACTCGCAATTGGCTCCATAGTACATGTTTGCTAGACAGGTGCACTGCACAGTGGGAGCATTGACCGTGCCGGCTACAGGAAACATGTATGAACACGTTCCACCGTTCCTACATGGATTGTTAGTCATGTGACAAGGATCCTCTGAAGAAAAAAATAAAACAATGTCAGTGAAACTTCAGAGCCTTTTGCATACACATGATCTGTTTCTTCTAATTCGAATACATGTATGTTACGTCAGGAAGAAAAGTATGGTAACTTTTTTTTGTATAAAGGACTTGTCCAAAAAGACAGATGATCGCCATTACAAACTTTTTCTTTCAAAAAGTACAACGCTTTTTTGGGGTAAAGGTAAGCATACTATAAATGACAATGCCTTGCGGACAAATTTACCCTCATGTCCACTGCTTCAGACTTTATGAGTTCGTAGCTGTCGAAAATAGATTTGTTTTCCTTTCCTGATTTGAGTAGGATGTATATATTTATAGCAGGGAGTTTGCTGAGTAATAAAGTTACCATGGGAGCTCCTTATTGGTTGGTTGCGCTTTGCATTTATCAGGTGACTTGTTTTAAGAATAAAAAAAAGTTGATATGGTATAAAAGATAAAAGTATTTGTGAGGTTTTGACTCGAGAAGTTTGAATATTTGTGTTGTTTATGAATGAATATATAAACTTAATGAAGATGCTATGATAGATTCCATGATTTAGAAGGCCTGACTAACACAGAAATTCAAAGCTTAAAGCTATCACTTCAAGAAACTTACCATATGCGCATGTGATTCCAATGTACGGAGAAGAGCAAGTACACTGGTAGGAGAAGGGAGCAACTGTCCCAATATTAGCACAACTACCTCGTCCATTGCACGGGCCATTGGTACATGGGTATGCTGCATAATAAATAAACAAGGTTTACTGTAATAAGTCATGTATGAAAAAATATCTGAGGTATCGAAGTTAAGTTGTTTAACACACTTGGCCTGAAGTGCAAAGGTCGTGAGATGAAAAAATTTAAAAAACGAAAATATAGGGGTACATATTTCATTGTGATTTATTCGTTTTTTTCAGCGTGTCCTAAATGGTGACTGGCTAAATGTTCCACAGGGAGTTGAGAATGTACATACATTGTTTGGGAGCAAGCCTGATCTTGGTGACTAGAGTAATGGTATATCTGCATAGTGCTTGCAGACACCGTGCATATATCAAAACGGTGACAATTTGAAGGTTTCTGAGGACGTAATGCTAGAAACATTGATATTAAAAGTTAAAGTAAATCACAGTGTGATCTCGTTTGTATTATAGATATTACAAAGTATACCAAAGCAGTTTAACATGAATTAAACATATGTCATAGATTGGAAACAATAGCTAGATTATCTACATAATGTGGTGACCAAATGATTAGGGATATCTAAACATACCTGTATTCTTTCATTATTTACATGTACACTCTATGCAGGAAAGTAACAATTTTAACAGAAGATATTTTTAATCAGGTGATATCGCAGATATCTTCAAAAGCGATCGTATTGTCGTATTTTGTTTATTAAATGGCTCGTTGAATAACTTACCATAACCACAAAATACTCCATAATAACCAGAAGTGCAGACACAAGATTCGAACCCCCCAGTACCAGGATTGGTAATACAATTGCCGTTATTCTCACACCGGATATTTGTACATCCAGACGCTATAGAGCACGATTTAAAGGATTAAACGACATGAGATTAGTGAAACATCGTTAGTACTGACGATCACCAAACGGCCTCATTACCGTGTCATGATTATCAGTGAGCGTTGATGGCAGTATTAATTGCTTGACGCGTCATGGAAGAAATACAACGTACAGAAAGTGAACGAAGGATACAAACAATGTGTTGAATCTCTGAAGCATGCACTCATGGTCCTCATCATTAATCATCATCATAAATACTAACGCAGTCAAAATGCAAGGGGATTGCTGTATCTTGTGTAATTTCATGGACTGTCTTTGCAATTCCCTATTGTAGTTTTGCAAATTTGTAACAGTTACAAACACTCAACTAGACACACGTAAAATGTAGGCCTGCACATTCTATCCATAAACAAAAATATTCAATAAATTAAATATAATAACAGTTTATTAAAACATGACAAGCAGGATTTTCTTGATTATACTGACTTAATAATTAAAAACTCACTGTATTTCTTTGACCTACATGAATAAAAATGGCCCATTATTCTATCAAACTAGAAATATCGCAATCTGTATTGCCGCGCAATGCGAATGTATCCCCCGGCAGTGGCAGCGATTTTGTGTTATCCTTAGGTGGAAGGAGGGACAAAGATTCCCTCTCCTCTTTGTGAAACAAAAGGATGACGTAGAGATTGCCGCAAGTGGCTCAGACTATTGTCAAGACTAGGAGCAGCATCACCAAAACAATAGGTGTGAAGATCAGATTATGATGCATATTTATAGAAAATTTGAAAGAAATGTGATTTGCATAGCGACACAAGATATTCCTTTAAATATGACCTTTGACCCTATAAGAGATGGAATACTGGGGGGTAGCAGCACCAAATTTGTGGAGGTCTAGGGTAAACTATAATGAACCTTAATACAAGCAGCATCACTAAAATCTATAGGCTTGTAGATTATACCAAGATACACCTTTGTTCAAAATTTGAACAAAATGCCTTTAGAAATGTGGCCTATAGAGCGCACACAAACAAAAATATGGCCTTGTACCCTATAGAAGGCGGAACACTGGGGGCAGCATCACCAAAAGTTAAAGGTATGTAGATTATACCAGGATACACCTCCATACAAAATTTGAAAGAAATCCGTCAAGAAATGTGGCAGTTAGAGCGCACACTAGAGTGCACACAAGACATCTATCAAAATATGACCTTTGACCCTATAAAAGACGGAACATTGGAGGCGGCATCACTAAAATCTATAGACTTGTAGACTATACCAAGATACACCTTCGTTCAAAATTTGAACAAAATGCCTTTAAAAATGTGGCCTATAGAGCGCACACAAACCATCCACAAAAATATGGCCTTGTACCCTATAGAAGACGGAACACTGGGTACAGCATCACCAAAAGTTATAGGTATGTAGATTATACCAGGATACACCTCCATACAAAATTTGAAAGAAATCCGTCAAGAAATGTGGCAGTTAGAGCGCACACTAGAGTGCACACAAGACATCTATCAAAATATGACCTTTGACCCAATAAAAGACGAAACATTGGAGGCAGCATCACTAAAATCTATAGGCTTGTAGATTATACCAAGATACACCTTCGTTCAAAATTTGAACAAAATCCCTTTAAAAATGTGGCCTATAGAGCGCACACAAACCATCCACAGAAATATGGCCTTGTACCCTATAGAAGACTGAACACTGGGGGCAGCATCACCAAAAGTTATAGGTATGTAGATTATACCAGGATACACCTCCATACAAAATTTGAAAGAAATCCATCAAGAAATGTGGCAGTGAGAGCGCACACAAGAATATGACGCGGCGGCGGCGTAACGCTGCTGAATCCAAAGTACCCCACCGGCATACTGCCGGGGGATACAATAAAGAAGAAGAAGAAGAAGAAACAGGTACTGAAGCCAAATGGCACCAAGGTCAAAATTATAATAATTCCCTTTGTACTCACGCGTACTGCAGAGGGTTCCTGTCCAAAACTGGCCCAGTGCACACGTACAGGTAAAAGTTGACCCGCTGTTGTCAAACGAAGGATTACAGGTCCCTGCATTTTGGCAAGGGTTTACTGGCACACACGGGTCATCTAAGAAACAAAAACAAAACATGAAATTACGAATATATATATATATATATATATATGTATATATAGTGAATAAGGCAGACTAATGGAACATGGTTGCAACTCCGAGTTTCACGCCTATAAGCATTAAGCACTGTACGGAGGAATAGACTAAATCTAAGTATATACATGTATATATATATATATATATATACAGTACGTGATACGTCCTAGTAAGAAAAAACGGTAATTGTGAGAAAACTATGAGCTGTATGGAAATAGTTTCTTGCTTTCCATAAAGTAGAAGTAAATGCTTTCAACTTACGCTATGATTGCATTAATCCATACATGCTTTACCGAGCAATATTTTTAAAAAAATATCATGTGGAATTGCATTTTTGCCTACCATGTTGAAAAACATAAATCCTATTTTATATGACACGCTAAACGCTAAAATGCTTAAAAGGACAAAAACGCACCCTCAAAGTAGATTTTAGATCCTTTTGGAATGAAACACTCCCATTCATATGCATGCTTGGAAAATGATACATTGCCGCCTAATAATCATATGACATATACATACACCTGTACATATAATCTGGAATAATATATCATCTCACCATATTCACAATTCCTCCCGATGATTCCGAAATGACAAGTACATTGATATGCCTGTGTCGCTCCTATTTGATTACACGTTCCATCATTCTGACATAGCTGTGCATCAATGCATGGGTGAACTGTGGAAAGAAAAGGGACATCGAAATTGGGCATTAAAGTTAACATACCACACATATATATATATATACATATATATATATATATATATATATATATTTATGTAGCCATGAACACACGACAAGCGGATCCAGGGTTTGGAAATACGGGGTTCACACCTCCAATCGGCGCACACTAAAATCAGTATATTGACGCCAATACGGTTTGGGAAATCATAAATAAAAGGAGGGTAACATCAGATGCAGTTCATACAAGTATTGTTGCGACTTTCAATGTACTTGAGTCAATAGAGTATATGGAAAGGGAAAAAAGGGCTGATATAAGTTGATGCTTTGTCCGAATACGAGAGTGGCGCCTCCCTTCCCCAACTTTGTACGTGGCCATGATTGTTACAAGACGCTATTTCAAGATCTATGCAGATGAAAGGATGGATGTGCATCGTGTCTTGAATCGCGCACCACGTGATCCACAGTCCGGTGATGTATCCACTTGACCACGACACCAAAGCATCATATCTCTCTTCTCCCAACCCCAACCCTGAATATGCTACCTTATTATATCATTTAAATTCTCCGAACTTTGTGTAGAGTTTGATTTTGGTATAAACCGTGACAATTTGTTAACGACGTTGGTGACATTACCGGTTTCACAAAATTGGCCCGTGACGTAGGGATTTGTGGTGGAACAGAAGGCTGTGAAAGAACTGGTTACAATGCAGATACAGGCATTCATACAAGGTTCGGGCAAACATGGGTCATCTAAAAGAACAAAAGGAAGGTAAACAAAAAATGTCATTAACTTGTGGAAATATGAAAAAATGTCAATTCGTTGATCTTACATTTTCTTTTTGAGGATCTTTAAGTAATGTAGCTCTGTATATATTTGTTTGTAAAGACAATGCATTAACGAAAAATAATTGTCATGGATAAGTCCACTCTAATATAAAGTTGGTTTTACTAGAAGCAGAAAATGAGAGGAACAGGTCATTGAAAGTTTGAGCAAATCAGATTAGAAATAAGAAAGTTATGCATTTTTGAAGATACGATCAATCAAACACAAATTGATATCTTGCGAGATTCCCTCCCATTTGCTCTGTACATAAAGAAAATTCAGAAATGTGCATTTTCCCTAAAGAAAATGTTCAGTCATACATGCAGCCTACGTTGCAAATATTTGTCTATACAAAACCCGAATGAAACAAATCTCTTCCGTCATCAATAACTACGAAAATGAAAGTTTATGAATTTCCGTACAAAGCAAACTGGAGAAGAGCTTGCAAGATAAGTCACTGTGTTTCCAACTTGTGTTTCACTGATGACAGTTTTTAAAATTTGTAGCCTTCCTACTTTTAATCGGATGTTGCTCAAACTGTTTCTAATTCGTTGCTCTCGTTTTTCTGTTATTATCAATATATGAACCAGCTAATGTTTAGGCCGGACATCCAATGTTATCATGCTGCAAGTCGTACTTATGAAAACATTGGAAATCCAGATTAGTGGGAATCAATGATATAGCCGTTCATTACGTGCCTTTAATTCGTCACATAATAATCCACTGTCCAATAATCCTTCATTCGAAATTACTTAAACGAACACAAGATGGTAACACAAGATATTAGTGGGAAACTTACTACATATAATTATAATAATAACACATATACAATTTATAACAAGATTTAGATCTAAGGAGGAAAGTGTGATTGTTTTTATCATTCGCAGTAGCTATAAATCAGATACGTTTTCAGTATTACAATTGGAGGGACATAACACAGTTACTCTGTATCGGAAACATATAGGTTAATAAGAAAGAGACAGTCACCCACTGATTAAATTATGAGAACAAGTGCCTTGTAACACATCTCAAATACTATACTGCTGAACGAGGAAAAGGGAAGACTTTTTTAACCAAATAATAATAAATGAGATAACGAAGACTTGTTTCCGAATGATGTCAGGACAAGAGACAGGAGTGAAGTATATAAGATGAAAAAATTGGTCCCATAATACACCAATTAAAAGTATCAATCATGTATAAAATAGCTCAATCATTGTGTTCTTGATATCAAGATATCGTGGCCTTACCGATATTGCAGAAAGATCCAAGGAAGCCGGCGAAGCACGTGCAACTAATCACACCATTTTGAACGTTACATGCACCGTTACCATTGCACGGGTCAATAGTACAGGCTATAAAACAAATTTAAACAAGAATGGAAACATTACCACGTACAGCCACGAAGAACCAGAACAAATTTGTTAAGCTTTTCTGGTAAATTGTATCTTGGTATAACACTGTTTCGAGGAAAAACAAGGGGCTGTGGTATTAAATTCCATTTGGTTTGATGTATATAACATTCCATGATGAAAGATACTATAACAGGAACATGATGAATACAAAATGATGACCTCTCTTCTAGTTATATATGATCGCATTATTCAGTTATACTCAAAACCGTTCAAGACAGGAAAATAATATACTATTTGGTCTAGAATATTATACTAGTTGGTCGAAACAACAATCAAACAATTAAACAAACAAGCAATTAAAAAAAAAAACAGTAAAAAAAAGCGAGCACTCAAAAAAAAAATTGTAATCATATTGATGATTTCGTGAAACAAAATGGTCATGTACCATGTGAAATAAAAGCCGAATACAAAATATAATACAAATCTTCAGTAATTAATACAATAGATTATAATTTCAATCAAGCTTATGAATACGATACACATTGGAAGTGGAGGAGGGGGGGGGGGAAGGGGTAAGGATAAATTTGATTAGATGCAATTAATTCAGAACAATCGTATGTAAAACTTGACATGTATAACGTAAAGGTTAAAGAGAGGAAGAAAATAAAAACAGACGTTTGTTCAATGTGAGGATAAAAAGCACCTGCGATGAAAAGAGAGAAAAAAATAACAAGATTAAGATATGATGAGTGATAACATAAAGATACGCACATGATTCAATGAACAGATCCAATAGTTAAATAGTTTTTCTGTTATCGTAATTCTTTTAAGTATCAGATAAATTTCACCAGACAGTCATACATCAAGGCTTCCTCACATAATAGCAATCAACTGTTAAGTGAGCATTTTGTGCTCTTCTGTCTTTGGTGTTATTTTCGTTCGTTTTTTTTTCGTTTCGTTGAGGATCACATATCCACCATTCTACAACTTTCGTTGCCGCAGTGCCTCAACCTCTGCAATGATTCTGTCACGAAGATATTGAGTGTTATGAGGAGGAGTGGTGTCCCCTTCTCTTATAAACTGACAAACGATACTGCTATGTAAAAAATAATCTTCTTTTTTTTTAAAACAAAAAACACTATATAAGATTGAATTGTGGCCTTTCTACTGAGTGCATTAATTGCTTTGAATGAAATGTCAACGTTCCGTATTAGACCACATAACAAAAATAACTTGTGTCTCGTCCGGACTTTCTAAAAAAAGGAGGAGGCAGGGCATCACTATTTTGCAAATTTTGCTATTTTGTCCAAGATAGCTGTTATATTAATTATAGCTCTATTCACAGATAGTGTGCTATGTGAGTATACTGATGCAATGTATGACAAAACAAATGATTTGTATCACTTTAGAAGCTCTTTAAACAAGATGTATTTCGCAGGTCTTTTTTATAGTAAATATAATAGTAATAAAAAGGAGGCGGGCGCCGACGAGAAACACTTTATTTTTATTATTTGGCCTTACATATTCTCCTTGCTTAGTCGTATATTTGTCTAACATTTTGACTAAGATATCATGACAAGTATGATTTGTACTCCCACATGTTGATGAACACCCAACATGTTATCCCTCCCTGCTATAGTTGTCCTTAGTTTATCTCATCAGCATCTCTTGTTATCGAGTGTGATAAGTGCCCACTCTATCTTCTGATCAAAAACCTCCTCACCTCTAAGTGCCCTTATAAAATGTGATAAAGAAACATTTTATCTTCTGATAAATGGCATTTTCATCTCTAACTGCCCTTTGAAATGTAATTTATTTTTCTCTTTCAAAAAAAACTTATGATTAGTGAAACCTTCTTTAAAAAAATACCCTTTTTCCCTTTTGGGGTAATTGTGCTAGATGGGTAATTGACTAGGGATAAGTGTCCGGGGTAGATGTCTTACAGGATTATTTAAATTAACTTAAACAAAAAATGAGCCTGGATGAAATAATAATCTCTTTGTATGTGAGCCTTTAAATACATTAATCTATTTACAGCTAAGTGTAACTAGTTAATTTAATTGTTGTATTCTTTCAAATCTTTATTCGAGTAACTAATAATCTGAAATTCGAAAGTATATCACGATATGGACATATTTTCAAGTTTTCACCTAAAAATAACACACTTGAAGAAACTATTTAATAATTTTTAGGCTAATTTCCCCTAAAGTGACGTGATTTTACTCGACCGTTTAGAGCCGCGGCAATCCATTTGTGCTGGAAAATTACTGTAATTTCAAAATTCGCCCATAGACACACTCCTCCATTTCGGAATCTCCTATAGGAAGCTGTTCTGTTAATCGTCAGACTAAAACAAAAATTGGTTTTGCAGCTTTGACGAGAACATACCGTCGACTGAGACAGATTCTAAAGTTTTCTTTAGACCCTTCTCACTCTAGATGCCGTTCTAGTGTTTCATCTTTCACCGATTCAAATAAACTTTTCTTAATATCGATCCCATCTTTAACATTTATCTTCTGCATATTCCACCGCTGCCATCCCTCTTAATAATGGAGGTGTTGATGGTGATAAGGCATTCTGATTTCTTTCTTATTTCTCAATAGACTTCACTATGCATCACATCCTTTCGCACAAGACAGGAACATGACGGCCTTCAACATGAATTAATTAAAAGAGAATGCATCCGTAGCCTTAATCAAATATCTTGTTTCTTTGTGATCCTAAAACAAGGACATTCTATTCCACAGAAACATTACTGTTGTATAAGAAATGCAAAGGGTAAATGTAGACATTTCATTAATATGTTTTGCGCAAACTTATTTTTGCTTGATTTTAAAATGTAGTCAGTGGTCATTCAAGTGTATAATAGTGTCAATACTTTCAATGTCGTCCCATTTCATAATCCCTCATCCATGATGCTGTAATATGAACTCGTGCGGATATTGTTGTATTATCATTTGGAGCACATTTTAAAAGAGTATACTTTTTATACAAACTGTATAGAGGCACATAGTATGATATCACTGCGACATAAATTTATAATTAATTGTGTGTTGATAATTGCCCTTTACAAAAAATAAATGGAATTTTGTATAAAAGAAATAATTTATAATTTAAAAAGTTGCCTCATAAAGTTATGGTTAACTAATTCAATTTAATTCAATTCATGAGGAGCGTCAATATGCAATTTGTTCTCATATAATTTCAATCGTATCGATGCGTCTTGTTTCAAAGTTCCTCTTGACATGGAAAAAGAAATCACATTTTAACATTTTATAATAATAATAGTTAAAAGATTGTTTCGACATACATATTTCACACGTATCTCCTGTCCAAGGTGAAGAGCAAGAGCATACGGGAACGGCTGCTTCAGGTGGACCATTCTGGATCCCATAGATACACCCGCCTCCATTCATGCAAGGGTTATTCGTAGAGAAACAAGGGTTCACTAAAATAGGTAAAAAATGAGAGCATAACTGATAGTATGATTATTAGATTCCATGGAGATCATGAAAGACAGCATATGACACAAACGTGATTCACCCACTATTGCATATCGATCAAATAGTTCCAAAGTAGGGATTATCTAGGCTATAAACCACCACCATGAAAACCTACCAATCCCGACCAAGGAACAGCTGCCCCCTGGCCATACATGTGATCGGAAGACGTGAAGTCCCTCAATAGGCTTCGCACAGGGGTGGGGCGATGTAAATACAACATGCATAAATGGGGATATACTGACGACTCAGACACCAACTGCGAGTGTGGAACATCCGTGCAATCCATGTCACATCTATTAAGATGTCCACTCCTAATTGACCAATGCTGCCTGGAAGACCTGGTGGCAGCAAATGAGAAGGCTCTTCAGTGTGCCAAGGCCTGGCAGAGCATTTGAGGACACGAAAAAAGAATACAAAGTGTATATATCCTTTTCTTGAACATGATATTATTTATTTTTGGTGCTTGATAAATCTTTAAAGATATTTATCACAACTATGAAATTTTAGATGGTTACCATTTCGTGTTTTTTTTTCTTCTTCATTTTCCATTTTTTTAAATTCAGTTATGAGTTATGAGTTTTTGATCGATCGGGTGGGTGGTACATGCACAACATTACTTTTTATAGGCTCTGTATAAGCTTGGCTTGTTAGAACTCTTGTGAGTAATATGCCGCGGGATTCCATATCCTCAAACTGCTGGCGAACAGAGCAACAAGACCAAGCTCTGTAATTTTAAGGATCTATCTGTCCAGTAGTGCCGTGTTTGTGCCATCGAACTTGATCGACCAAATCAATTGATTCATAATATATATATATATGCAATATTTTTTCCCGTAAAATGAGAGTAATTTTAATAGTTTCATACTATTAATTAAATGTAATGTTAACTGTTATTGTATAATTGTTTTAAATGGGGGCATGCTACAAGAGTCCTATCTCGCATTCCGGGGCAACGTGTCTGACACGGCCAGTTGTAGCAACTACTCCGAAGATCAAGATTACATTAATCTTGATCTAAGGAGACACGAACGAACGAACGATCTAGGCTATATATATTTACATAATCATTCTAATCTGAAAGCCTCATTAGCGTGTATGAAGTGTGTGTGTGTGGGGGGGGGGGTGGTAGGGACAGCAAAGGAGTACCTTTGCACCCCGACAAACTTCTAACCAAGAAAAATGTAATTGACTTTTCCTTCAAATGAGGTATTTATTGTAAAGTAAAATTCATAAAAATCAGAAATTCATGGCTGTCGTACTGCTTTCGCATGTGTCTGTTTTCTCCACTTTCCCCGTCACCATTCTGGAAAGTAAACTTAGGCATCTTTTGAAGAAAAAGAAAAAAGGTCATGGTACACAATAATAAGGCCAACAAATTTTTATTCTATAACACGCCAAATCCATTGCTATTTTAACAAATGCAGAGTATCTTAGCTTCAACCGATAGATGGAGGTATTCAGGATTGTGATCTCCAAATTATCAGATTTGCGGATGAGATTGTTCTAATCGCTAATAATACCACTGATATAAAACAATAGCATCTCTTTATTTAAAAATAAGAAAGTGGAGATAAACACCTCTCAAAAAGAAGTAACACTAAGGTTCTGGTGATGAGTAATCAAGATGCAGCAGTAAAGGGACAGCGGAGTGTCTTACAAAGTGGAGAGGGGACTAGCAAAATGGGCACCTAAAAAGGTTAACTGCAAAGCACAAAATAACGAATTTCATTTATTTCAATTCAATTTATTTTCCATTTTGAGACAACATGAACACAAAAGCAAAATACACAATAAATAATAATCACCAATATTGCACAGAATCATAGTATTTTAATACAATTTTAATACAAATACATACTGCATTTGAACATCTATCACAAGAAGAACACAAGCACACATACGCACACATGTGCGTACGCACGGGGGGGGGGTGGGTGTTTGGGGGTTAAATAACCCCCTTCATGTTTCTGTCCCTAAAAAAAGTATGGAAGGGGAAATGAGAGGGCTAAACAAAGTTTTAAAAAGAGAGGGAGAAAGAAGTTGGCATGATTTGATCAGTTTTCTGAATAACCAATCTGCAAGAGGGACCTTTAACCTTAAATCGATGATGCTTTCATAAAGATTGCTATGAGAGGGGCGGATCCAGGATTTTCCAAAGGGGGGGAGGGGGCGTAAAATGTGTTATTAGTCTTGAAATGCACAAACGCAGCCAAGTTCAAATACACCTCATATCGTCATGTATTGACATCTAGGCTACGTAAGGCTAAACAAAAAATCTTCCCAGTTTTCTTCTCCTAAAAAAAGATATAAAATCTATTTGAAAAATTATAAATTTTTGGGAAAGTTCATAAAAATTCAATTTGACAAATCTGTTTGTAATGGATATATAGTAAAGGGCTCCCTAGGTCCTGATTTCACGCACACATTAGCGTTTAATTTCTTATAATACTTTTTTTGAAGTGTCTAATTAAAAAAATTATTTCCTCGGAATGTTCATGCATCAGCTACTCAGCTGATTTGCCTAACATATTCCCAAGGGTGATTTGCATAATATATTCTCTCTCATGTTCGCTAAAAAAAACAGCGTTATCCACTCCTACTCCACAATTCAGAGTGTCAATTTACATCTATCCCCAAGTTGGACGGTCTTTCCCCTAAAATCAATTGTTTAACCTTGCCCCTCTTTTTGGAATTGTTTTGAAGCACAATTGTTTAATCATTTTAAACGCAAACTTCGAGTTTTCCTTTTAAAATGATAAGTCTAATATCTTCTTTTTTCTCCAATGCTCAATCCTAATTGTTAATGAATGATGCACGTTCCGGTTATTAATGTATACAAATGAATTTCCGTGTTTCTGAACCTATTGAATGCGTATGAACGAATTGCTTGTTGCTTTGTGATTTTCTCAAGGTATCATCTAATCTATTTTTGCGTTCTCTCCAATTCTGAACTCTTAAAATTATGATTTCACTCGGGAAACTGTCTAAAATTTATCTTAGTATGTGTTTTTTCCAAGTAATCTTGTGCAGGTTGACCTTTCATGTATTATGTTCTTAAATTAATGATTATATCCATACACTGGATGTTTTGTTCAACGGTGCTCTGCTAGCTAATTTGCTCAGGTGACTAATACGCATTTTAACCAGGTGACTCTAGGTATTGGTGATAATGTATTTGTATGCAAATTTCTTAATTCCAATGTGTTTTTAATTCCCCCTCTAAATTCCATCTTTCTCTCCTGCCTCTATTGCTAAATGAAAAGATGATTAGTACTACAAAATCGGAGAATAGCGTTGAAGAGAGCCATAACTTAAGTTTTTCGTCTTGCACTCATCAGAGTAAAACGCAAAAATGAAACAGAAAGCCGAAATCAATCTATATAAACGAAAACTAAAAGGAACAAGGCGCGAATATAACGAGCGCTGATTGGCTGTCAAAAGTAACGTAAATTAGGCTTATGCCAGCCGTTATACCGGAAAATCGCTAGAATAATACGAGTGTCCAAACAAACTCTTTCTGTCTGCATAAGGGACTTTTAGATTTGCGTGGACTGATACGTGTGACGTCAATTCAAGGCAGTGCATTAAAAGGACGTCGACCGTAGCAATCCACATTGTCTTCGTGCAAATCTAAAAGTCCCTATAGAAGCGGGTCGGTCAACTAAATGTATGGTGCTTCGAGCATGCGCAGATGAGTAAAGTTTCTCGCTCAGCAGAGAACTTTGAACGAAGATGAACAGTATTGTTCAGCGCTGAAATTGCAGTCGCTCTAAGTAAGGGCACATTTTTGGGAGGCTGTGAGAAATCTATTGTTTTGGGGAGATTTGAAGTGATAGCAATATATGGTCATAGCACTTATGCTAATTATGTTTCAGTCTTTTAAACAGGAAAGACATTAGGTAATGGAAATTCTGTTGCCTTGGATTTGAAAACCACTACATTTGTTAAACCTTCATATTCTTGAACCAAGGGCAATTGATTACCTTGGCATTTAAGTTCAAAAGGACATGGGGTTTAAAGGGTGATAATTTGGAAGTTATCTCTTTTTTCAGCTGAGTAGAATATGTCACGGTAAATTTAAAGGGACAAATACATTTGATAAATTTGAAAACGAGCACGATTTTATTTTTAAAAGGAGCACAGTTAATTCCTATAAAATTTGGGGCATAATGCCCCTGCCCCGGCTGCGAATTTTTTTTTCCCAAACAGGTTTACCTATGAGAGTAAAATCCTGCCTCCTGATTGGTTCAGAGGTATACGCATCATGAATATTCATGACTGAGCTGAAAGATACTAGTAGTATTACGCATGCTCATCGAAATCCAAGTTTGAGTTCGTTGATGCAGCGCAGCTATAGTACGTAGGCTATACACTGCATGCATGGATATGCATGCGCAGTGATTGGCTCTAAGTTATAACTTTTACATGAGCTATTACTATTAGTATTATGGCGGAGTCTACAAGTAGGCCTACAACTCTCTGCAATTTTGGTATGCATATCAATAATAAAAGCTTGTCTTTGACATGTGTAGAGCCTGTATATATTACTTTATGTCCTTTGTTTTCTTTGGCCAGGTTCATCTGTCACAAAGGAACCAGAACCACTGATATGTTTGTTTGTTTTGTTTTATTTCCACTTTTTCATATCAATACAAAGAAACATACAAATAAATATAATGAATAACATGTAAGTTTGACAAAATTTGTTTCTAGTTAAAATAAAAGTTTCATACAAAAGGAAAAAGCAGGAGACCACATGTCGTAAGCGTAAATGCTTGAACATGACCGTGGCATCTGCTGAGTTAACAAAATAAAAGAACAACCCATGCAACTGCATTGTATTCAATGTTAAATAAGATATAAGTGAAGTGATTAAAAGTGAGCATGGCTGAATTAATTTTGAGTGAAAATAACAAAACAAATTTAGTGA